TCCAGGGTGGGAGAGCCCCCCACCTCTCCAGGCAGCTGGTTCCACTGTCCTATTGCTCTGACAGCGAGGAAGCTCTTCCTGATGTCCAGCCTGAATCTGGGGCCTACACTCTGACATCAGCAAGAAGAGATCTTGACCTTCCTCTTTGTGTCAGCCCCTGAAGTACTTATAGAGGGATACCATGTCTCCTCTCAGGCTTGTCTTTTTGAAGCTGAACATGCCCAGTTCTCACAGTCTTTCCTCATAGGGCAGTATTTCCAAACCCTGGGCCATTTTTGTTGTCCCCCACTGGACCCTTTCTAATTTATCTGCATCTTTCCTAAATCTTGGTGCCCAGAAATGGACAAAGTATTCCAGGTGAGGTCTGACTATTAAGGAGTAAAAAGAAACTACTACTTCTTGTGATTTGGAAGTAATACTTCTGTTAATGCATCCCAAAATAGCATTTGCTCTTTTGGCGGCTGTTCAGAATTGTGCTGTTAACTGGCTGATCCATTTAAAAGCTGTATGACGGCTCAGTTCAAATTCTACCGCAAAACCCTGGTATCTCAGGCACAACCCCACTAGCACCAGGCCTAAACTGGAACTAGGCATGTGATTCAGCCCTGCCCAACATGGCATCCTCCAGACGGATTAGATGGATTTCCCATAATTTCCTGGGAATAGGGGAAGCTACAACGCTGCAACTACACCCTTTCCCGTGTCTATCTCTGCCTTTGCCCCTCCACCAACTTCTTGGTGTCTTCCCAATCTCAAATTATTATTATTATTATTATTATTATTATTATTATTACATTTCTATGCCGCCCCTTGCCGAATTCTAAGCTCCTCACAAACACAGAATTTGTAAAACACAAAGATGGACTAGACAAATAAATGCCCACATTAAAACTTATATAGTGAATGGACTAAAATTCTTTAGCCAAGTTAAATGATTTGTCTGCACTGCCCAAATTCCTGATACTCCCATCAGACAGAAAACAGGAGGGCTTACTCACGCGCAGGAAATACGAAATTGCCTTAGACTGAATCAGAGTCTTGGCCCGTGTGGTCCAGTACTGCCAACACTGACGGGCAGCAGCAGTGGCTCTCCAGAGTTTTCCCAAGCCCAGTTTGGAGATGCTGGGGATCAAGCACAAGGCCTTCTTCACGGGAGGCAGGTGCCCCATAACTGATCCAAGGCCCCTCCTCTCATCATGTACCTTTTGAACCCACCTGCTTAGCAACACAACTCAGGACGGAAATGCCACGCAAATAAGAGACCACTCGCTTTTTGGGAGGCGGGACCAGGGAAAGGACATGGATGACGGGGCTCACAACCAAAGCAGGACTGTGCAAGTCTGGCTAAGTTGTAGGATCTGCAACACAATTCTCCTTGTTTATATATGGGCACCCTCCTTTTTTCTCTGAAACCCACCAACCAGCCAACCTGGAGTCTCCCTGGACGGCCCCCAAACAGCCTGATCTATGAAAACACTGTAATCACAAGCACCAGAAGACGGGTGTCCCTTGCAGTGGACGCAGCACAGAAGACGGCGGAGGTGGATCCTCCTTGGGCGCCATTCCCCTGGGCCAACGCTTCCGGGGAAGCCCGACTGTTTCCTGGGCGGCAGGCAGATCGCAGCCTTGCTTGCGTGGCTCCCCATCCGGCTGTGCTCCTCAGCCAGCCTCGTCCTCCTTAAATCCCCCTTCTTATCTTCGGTCCCGCCTGACAGCTTCAAGGGGCCTTGTCTCGGCACAGAGCACACACTGCATGCAGAAAGCCCGACCGACACTCAACCCGCACGACAACACGCTTAAAATGGCTCTCGGGCACAGCAGGTGCCGGGATTAAAAAGCCTTAGAGGCTCTAACCGGAAAAGCTTAAAGCAGGTGGAGCCAACCCAGCCCCCTCCAGATGTTTTAGATGGCAATTCCCATCATCCCCAAGCGGTCTGGGGCTGATGGGAACCGCAGCACGCGACACCTGGGGGAATAGGTGCTCTCTTGAGCCCTCCTGCCTTAGAGAGCGGCTAGCAAGCGAAGTGGACGGTGAGCCAATGGCAGCCTCACCCGCTCCAGCGCGAGCCTCCGGCCTCATCTGCAATCTCTCTAAGCTGGAGCCACGCATCCGGACAAGGCCCTCTGTCCCAGATCCACACCAGCACCAATCCTGCTGGGGCTCAGTCTCCGCCTGCTCTGTTGCCGGCAGCTGAGCCCAGATGTTATGCAAGACGAAGGTCTGGGGACTGGACCTCTCTCTCTCTCCTGCCTCCAAAACTGGCAGACTTCCTGCAAGACAGAAAGTTCCCGATCTTGCCACAAATGCAGCGATTTTCTATTAAGCTTCCCATAAAATATTGTGTGTGCGTGTGAGCACACACCTGCGTGCACACACGTGTGTGCGTGGGCATGCATGCGGGCTGCAAGGTTTGCCTGTAAGAAGAATTCAAAGCGACACGTCACAGCCATTATTTTCAAAGGCTTGGAGAGGGAAAAGATTTGCTTCAAGCTTCCATTTTTTCAGCATAATGCCGCGTGTATTTATAGACAGCCAGCTATGCCCTTTTGGAGATACAAGTGCTGAGACAGAAAGCAAATTAAAATTTAATCTTATTGATTTCTACAGACAAAGTCCCAAGAGCCAAATAGACATCGCTGCCTCCTTCCACTGGCTGCACCACATCACATTAAGTTTTTTTCAAAGAGCAGCTCCGCTGCCACCAGCCGTGCACTCCCAGCCCAGTGCCCCCCACGGAACGGAGACGGGGGAGAAAGGGAGGCTTCCGGGGCCCAGAAACGTGGGACGCCGCGGCTTAATTGCTCGTTTCAACAGAGAATCTTGCCTTTTCTTGACACTGAAAGGGAAAACACTGCAGTGCATGTCCTTGCATGAACTCTCCCTCTCCAGCAAGAGAGAGCCAGCCAGCCAGCCAGCCAGCCAGCGAGAGCGTGCGTGCTGAAGAGGAAAAGACAGAGGAGGGGAGGGAGGGAGAGCAATGATGAGGTCAACTCTCAAAAAGGAAGCTGACAGCTCTTTGCTCAAAGGCTCAATTGCATCTGAGAACTGCCGCAGTCGCTGGGGAGGGATGAAAAACCAGCCCGTCTCCAGGGAAATACTTCTTGTCTTCGCAAGGCCCTGACAATCCTAGCAGAACGGAGTCCTGCTTCCAACTAGCTGGAGGCGGCGAGCAGAAAGACAAGCCAGACACGCTAGGTGGGCTGGCAGAGGAGGGGGGACGCGGCACCGGGGCGAGGGCGGGGGCAATGGCGGGGGGAGCTCGGCAGGCCGCACTGGCCGCACCCCGAGTCTTCCGCCTCCGTGCCCACTTGTGCATAGTGATGGGCAACGGCATCCCAGCGGAGCTTGCTTCCCGGGGGCATACTCTGCCCCCGGCCGTTCAGGGCTCCGAGGGGGAACGCTCAGACCTTGCAGTGGGCTCCAGCAAGAGCTGGAAGGTAATGCAGCTTGTGACGCCCCGGGACCACACGCCCGAGTCCGTCCCGGGTGGTAACCCAGCGGCTCTGCGTGGGCCCAACTGGCACTTCTGAGCCATCTCCGCACCCACGACACACGGACAACATGCTGCACGCAACAGTTCAGTAAACAGACCGAGCAGTTCCAAATCGTGGCTAGCGGCCTCTGGGCTCTTCCTGAGAAAGGGGAAAAATTCCCCCATTGAGCTCAGACGGATGGTCTCCTTTCCTAGGAGATCGTTTCCCACCGACGGACGGTTCTGCACATGCTGAACAGCAAAGGGTGCCTCTCCAGGACCGGCGTTTGGAACCACAAAGTGATGTGTGACGTCATACTTCACCACATTACGCACCTCTTTCTGACTGCCTTTCTGTGGCCTGCCTGGGTGATCGGGTCATGTGATCGTTACTCGCCAATCACCAGGATGTGGACGAAAGTAGCCGGACCCTTTCCTGTGGTCCTTCTCCCGGGGGAGCCAGAGCCGCTGCGGTGAGGAGGGGAGTGTCCTGGAAACCAACTCACCGAACGCACGGACACCACACTGCTTTGAAGCAGACTTTGAAGCCTGCGATCGATTCTGAATGCAATAATGAATTCATAGCATATTGATCCATGCTCGCTACAAACATTAGCATTACAAATGGAGGCATTTCCCCAGTAAACTGACCAATCACAACATTTGGCAGTCTTGCTATTTATGTATTTAAAATATATCTGCCCCTGTTTGCCACATGCATTGGGCAAATTCCATTTAAAACACCTAACTGGGAGGTTGCCTCTGAACATGGAAAGGGGTCCTTGGCCAAGAGGGTCTGCGACCCCAAGGTCACACGCCTGCTTGGCATGCAAAAGCTCTCAGATTTAATCCCTGGTATCCTGAGGCAAAGCTCTGGGACTGACACTAACCCAACGGCACACAACTTGGCCACCTCCAGATGTTTCGAATGACAACTCCCAAAAGCCCCAGCCCAGATGCCAACAGTCAGCAATTCTTGGTACGGCAGTTTGACACAGCTGGCAGCCCCAACTCCGTGGGCTGCGATCCTGGAGAGCCACGCCAGACAAGGTGGCGTAGACAACAGCAGACACACCTCAAAACAAGGCGGCCTCCTGTGCTTCTACGCAATTGCCAGGTCTGCTTTTCACAATTTCCCAGGTTAGCAAGAAGGACTCTTGTGTTCCCCAGCAGAGGACAAATTCCAGAGGCCGACAGCAGGGAAAAGCAGCGGCTTCCCTGCAAATATTCCAGGAACTAGAAGGGTCACGGGTCAAGATTTCCACGAGGGGAGAAGAAAGAGGGAGCAAAGCCAACGGCAATCGGCATCATTTGCTCCTCCCTCGGGGCTAGCCAAATCGGGAGAAAACTATGTAAGACTGTAAACGCTGCCAAATAAAGTAGCTTGCATACCAGAAATCCGGCGGAGTTGCTTCTTTTGGATCACTGAGACCCACTAGAGAACCCAGCAGAAGCCAGGGCTGCCCGGACACAGTGTCCCTACCCAGGGCTCCTCCGCCTTCAGGCATTAATCGTTCCGAGACTCACCCGATTCTCATCATAGATGATCTGGACAAGGCTGCGGTGCTTGGACTCAATCGGCGGAGGAGAGATGGGCCTCTCGGGTTCAAGCGGTTTGGCTGCTTCCTCCTCCAGCTGTTGCTGTGAAATGTGGAGGAGAAAAGACGAGTGAGTTCTGAGGACTCATTCCCGGAGTCTGCCCAAAATCTTCCTCAGACACAGTGACTTACACATGAACAACGCGTATTTTATTCCTACACATGAGCGATGTCCTAACATCCCCGAAAACCACAAACTGGGCTGGCTCATATATACCCATTCTCCCAAGACAATATCCCAGTTGGTTTTGAAACATTTTTTCCCTTCATATTTGGGGCTGGGAAGGGAAGGGAAGGCAAGGGAAGGCAAGGGAAGGCTACTGGTCCATATCATTTTGTAGAAAAGTTGAAAGTAGAACAGGAATTCCGCATCATCTCAGAAGATAGTTTGCCATATAGATGGAGCTCTATGACATTTCTAAAGCAATTAAACCTGGAATTCTGGCCAGCAATTACAGGCAAGCTCATTTTTTGAGCAGGAAGGGATCAAGTCAAAATTGTTACGTCCCAACAGGGCTACTGGTGAAAGCTGATTTAAAGAGGTTGACTCCAGCCAGACTTCTCCACGCTCTAGCCACACACGGAACAACTAAAGCGATGATTATGGTCCGGCTGAAATGTGACTCTTAAGCTTTAGTTACTAGCAGGTAGACGCTTTAAGCTAAAATGCGCCAGCACTTTGGAGAGGCTGACCCTACTCACCATCAGCACGTGATCCCTGAAAGTGTCTTCACAATTTCATTTGGCCCCCTCCCTGGAAGAGCACCCCCCAGTCCCCTACTAAGACCTAGTTCCGGGCTCGGGTGCCAGCCCAAGAGTTAAGACTTGGTTAAGCCTAAAGGTTTCCCTGTAAATATTCTGTTGCCACTTCTGGAACGAAATCAATAAATTTGTTCCTGAGTAGCAGGTGGCCTTCTGTTTTGCAACCAATAAAAGCAACAGCCACATTCTATCCCCCCCCCCCAAAAACGTTCTGTGTGTCCTTCCCCGAGAAGTAGCCTCTCAGCAATAGAGATGTCTCCCCAGCACCCCCCCCCCGCCCCAACCAGCAAAGCCTGACCTCAGTGGATCCGGTCAAGCTAATAGTCTGTGTAAGGATTTGCAGAAAAATGTAAAAGGCAAACAGAAAACGGACATAAAAATAGGTCGATGCTGTCAGACAACAGTAGTTTTTACGATGAAGGATGGGGAAAAAGAAAGAGAAAAGCCAATAGGAAAGAAAAGGGAAGAAGAGGCCAAGCTTGTGACCTTTATGGTCAGAATGAGCGACGGCACTTCTAACTTTTCATCCAACATCCTCCCTATGACATGCACAGACCCCCTGCTGCGACCGCTCAGGAGGAGGCAACGCTGGGATCCCCCACCCACCCGCTGCCCGCTTGCCATCTCACTGGAAAGTCTCTAGAAGGTCAATTTCCAAAAGGGGCACGGGCCCGAGCTGCAGCTGAACACACGCCAGAGGACATGGCTCCGCTCCGTCCAATGCTCCAAAGGAAGCATTTGGAGAACGGCCTCCTTGGCAGGAGGCGGGGGTTGCAGGCAGCCATGCTCAAAGGAAGGCCTTGAGGGTCCCAGTCCCAAGCTCCCGGGAGGTTGTGACTTGAGCTGCAAAGCAGGGAAACGGGCAGAAGGACCACCCTGTTCACCAGGCATGGCCAGACGGCCGGGTCGCTCACATCCCCATCCAGCGGGCCCAACGCAGGAGTCGCGGTGGTCCACCTCACAGGGGTGCTTTGGACAACGGCTGATAATGAGGTTGATGGGAGCTGGAGGCTCCCTTTATGCTCCCCACGATGCCGGCCTTCTCCTGAAAATCGCCCGGGCAGCTTCCAGATTCAAAAAGGAAGGCCTCCATACCCGACGCAGCTGCATGCAACACGGAGATTAACGTGCAAGCACATTTCTGTGTGTGCTAAAGACAAGACACATTGCACACACGGGACCCCGCGGAGTTAATGAACAGGGCCATGGACACTGGCCTGAGCAAGCCCACAGATTTAGGTACGGCTTAATGTCCACAAAAGAAGGCGATGCCCAAATGGGGGGGGGGGGGTTGCCCAGGGGAGAAGAGAGGAGATGTTTGAGGCCATCTGCGTTAGCTGAGCTGAAAAACGTTTGCACTGGATACCACCCTTCCATGCTGTAAACTGCAGCAGGCTTTTGTTTCCACTCCCATTCCTCACTCTCTCTGAGGGTGCTGTTTTTGGAAGTCTTGCACAGCCTAAAAGATCTAATCCATTATTTCCTGGATGCGTCACAAAGAGAGAAAGAAAGAAAATCCTTTCAAACATAAGGCTCAGATAGAAGAATGCATTTCCATTGTTACTGAGAAAGAATGAGTGTATATTTTGTAAATATTGGTCAGTAATTGAAAACCTGTGGAAATCCAGGTTTGAACAAAAACTCCTTCGCACTTTAAATATTTCCTCTTCTGACTAAAACACTGTTGTCCAAAAAGCTTCCTGTCAAGGGCATGCGTGCTTGCGTGAGAATGAGAGACAGAGAGAGAGAGAATGGGAGAGATCAGATAAGTCAGTGTGGTGTAGAGATGTCTCTTACATTTTGGACCACAAAACCCCATGCTTGGCTCCATACTCTGAAATGAAGCTCGCTGGACTGCCTTGGGCAAGGCATTTTCCCTCGCCCCTTCCTACCATACAGGTTTTCGAAGGATAAAATGAGGAGGACAAGGAGAATGTACGGAACGTGTGGGTGTTCCTGGACTCCCTGGAGGAATAGTAGAACATAATCGGTATATGGGCTTTCTCTGCAGTGGCGCCCAACTTATGGAACGCGCTCCCCAGAGAGGTCTGCCTGGCACTGTCGTTATTTGTTTTTCGGCGTCAGGCCAAGACCTTTTTATTTAAACATTATTTTAACGGTTGATTTTATTTATTGATTTTAAGTCTGTTGCCAGGATGTCTCCAGTATTTATGTATTTTGTATAGAAGTATTTATTTATGTATTGGAAGCCGCCCCAAGGCTTATGCAAATGGGGCAGCATGCAAGTTGACCAAACAAACAAACAAATAAATGGACAAAACCCCATTTCTCAACGCTCTGTCACAGCCTAGAATGACCAAGAAAACAGTCTATGAGGATGGATGAGCTGATAGGGACCTGCTTGTTACTGTGGGAAGAAATATTAGCTTCCACTCAGGAATGCTTCCAAATGCATCCTTAAACTTTATCACAAATGTAAGCAAATGGCTGCCAACGGCTTGCATTAAAGCCCTGCACTTGCGGGAAACCAAGCAGCCTGATCTTAAACACTGGGACTTCGAGAGACTCTCTCAAGAGGATGAAGAGCTCGGCACATGCCGGCATGCCATGCCTCTGCTGAAACGCCTCTCCCCTCTTGCACTGGAGAAGTGGCCGTCCAGGCTCGACACGAACCACTGGTTTCACTCTGAGTGAAAGTCTGAAGCGGGAACTTTCGCTCTCGCTCAGTGTACGCTCGGCCAATGTGTTGCGCATGCTTCTTAAGATGTGTCAGCATGGTTACGAGAGAGTGGTGACATGCGGAGCGCAAAAAAACAGTGGGGAGCAGACTAGGAAAAGGCTGCATTTTTCTAGACATCGGGGGGAAATTTAGAGAGAATTTCCCCCAATTTCCCAAGTTTTTTTCCCACTTTCCCCCAAACCTTCCCATCTCTAATGGTTACTAGCCATACAGACATGAAGTAAAACTTTTACAAAGGGTTTCTACTATTTACTGGTCCACAGAAGAGTCGGCAGCAAAGTATAAATACAGCATCCCTCTCCTCAAATTCCCATTGCCATCCCCCCAGATGTAATTCCAGATGTTGCAGCCACTCCACCAGGCCTGGCAGAGCAACGAGTTCTCAAATCTCTCCTCTTTCCACCCCCGTAAGTCCTTTCAATGCTGTCAGAACAGACAGAAACAAAAAACAGGTGTCTGGGATTAATTACCCTTGCTCTGGTTGGGAGCAGGGAAAGATTCTATGACATGCAGAGAACACAGCCCGGCTTTTCTTGTGGCGAGGCATCTGCTGCCTAAAAAGTAACCTACGTTTGGGGAAATTGTTACCTTGAAAACCGGGCTCTGCCACACACTCTCAGGCTCACTGGCTGTGCCGAAAGGGCAAGCGTGAGACTCTCCTGCTCTCCCAGACATCCTTCTGCATCTGCTAGCTCCTCTTCACTGCCCATGGGAAGCCGCCGGGGCCCCACTGGTTGCTTTGCTCCAGGGTGGCTGCTTCCTCACAGTGGGATCCCAGCCAGTCAGGGAACCTGCTGTGACCAGGACCCTACTGAGTTGCCAAATACCCTAACAGGGCAACCATCACTCAGGGCAAACGAAGCCAATTCGGAGTGAGGGCAATGATTTCTGAATCTCATCCGTCTTACTCTGCTCGGGCAGGGAAGAACAGGGCACCCCTCAAGCAAGGCGAGGAAGGGCATGCAGCTGTCACTGCCTGCTCACTGCCCCTTGTCCGTCACACTTTACTGGTAACATGAATGACAATTTTGGGGCTGCATGCAGGACATTCCCATGTTGTTTGCGTGCAAAGTGAAGTCAGATGGTGCCGTCTGGCTTTGCCCTGTTCATACAGCTGACACTGGCTCCCATCTGTGGCTGGTTGAATGCGGAACTGAGCCAGGCTGAAATGACAAAACCTGAATGGCAGAGACAGAACTCGAGAGGCAACTTCAGTGCCCAGGGGAGGAGTTACCTGTTTCTTTCTCAGTTTGACGATCTGCTGTTCCACCATGGTGATCTCACGATCAACCCGGTCCATGTTCTGGATCAGCTCCTCTTTGGACAGCCTGGATGGTAACAGATCCAGTTCAGAGTCAGGATGGGCAGGGCTAACCGGAGAAACTGGCTCAAGCTTTCCAGTTATGCCTCGATCCTGAGAAGTAGAGAGAGAGAGACAAAAGACACATTGAGAGCAGGATCTTGTCTGGCCGCTGCAGATCTCAACCAGGCGCCCCCAAGAACGGCCTTCTCCCACCTCCAGGCATTTTGGACAACATATCCAGCGTTCCTGACCACTGGCCAACGTGGTCAAGGCAGATGGAATTTGACATCCAAAACATCTGGAACCTAGGAAGACCCTCGGTCCACCTAGCCGACCACTGGCAAGGCTGACTGGCAGCAGGCCTCCAAGATTTCAGGCTTGATTCCTCCCTAGACCTATCTGAAGAAGCCACCAGGGACCACCTGGACAGGAAGCATCTGCTCCTCCTCTGAGCAGCAGCCCCCACATCTCGCTGGGGAATGCCATTCCAGAGGTTCCATGGAATTCCGGAGTTCACCGCCTCAACATGGTAGCCAAACGCTTTGGTTTGGCAAACCCAGTCCCAGGGTCCCTTCCCAGGCTTTCGACGGGCTGCACACATTTATGCATGTCATAAGCCATCCAGAGACGCAAGTAATTGGACGGCATGCAAATCTTATAAATAAATAAATAAATAAATAAATACACAGTAGTAGCCAGGATTCACTGCTGCAAACTCTTCCGTCCTTTGGGGCCTTCTCGGCTCTTCCTCCCAGACAGACGGCTCCATTTAAAACTTCAAACCACTGCAAAGCCACAAGGCCGTTGCTGAAGCAGAGAGGCCCCCATCCAAGCTGGCTCCCTGAATGACCAGCGGCCTGCCCAGCCCGAGACAAGGCAGCCATTGTCTGGTGGTGCCAACTGACGTTCCCCCACTGCCGTCCAGGAGGTCTCCTTCCGCTTTTCAGGTAACTGGACTCTCCAGGCTGCCTGGAGCTCTCCAGCAGGTGGGCTATTCCACAACTCCAGCAAGCTCCCTCCCTCTGGCACACCCATTCAGCCCCGTCAAACGGTTTCTCAGCCCAAGTTCAACTCTCCGTGTGGATGAGACCTTGTATGCGACACTCAGTTTACAAGCCAGAGTGAACTGTTGGCGCCTTGGGAAGCAAAACACGAACGAACGAGTGAGCGAGCGAACGAACCTTTAGAGATGGAAGAGATTTACCTTGTAACCTCAGATACCTTGCAGGTGAACCCTCCAGTTTGGCAGCTATGTGAAACAAATCAGGCCAATGGCCACAGGAATAAAACCTCTGGCAAAAGTATGTCCGCAGAAGCTGTTGCGTGACCAAAGATCTAAGGATACCTGTGCGCACCCGTGGCTGGGGCGCATGGACAGGAGGGTGTGGAGGCACTCGGGCGCTGTTTGTGGGCAGCTGGGGCGGCCAGTGGGTGATCCAGGATGCTGGACTAGAGGAACCCTTGGCCTGATCCTGCTCGACCCCTCCTATGCTCTTATGACATGCCCCAGGGGCTAGGTGTCCTCCGGACCATTCTGGCGGGCCGCCGGCTACGTGGGCCTTGTCACCCGAGACTCGAGCGACTGGTGGTGCTCAGGATTGCATGTGCCTGGGGGCGTGAGAGGGTGGGAAACAATAACTTCTGAACAATGCTCTGGTGGCCATTTATGCACTTCCCCTCCATGGCTGGGTACTTATTCCCAGTTTTAGGATTACAGGAATAATTATGTGATTAGTGAAGAAGCAAGGTGGGAGCCAGAAGCAAAGCGGGATATTCATAAAACTGCCTTGAGCAGCCAGCAGCTGTTGCAGCGGACAATTACGGAGAGAGAAGGGCAAGAGCCACGCTAGCTGGAGAGGGAAGCCGCTTCCTCTCGTGCAAGCACACGCTGCTTTGCTGGGGTGGTGCCAAAGGGCATGTGCCATGAGGATGCTGGCACTGTTTATTTATTGGCTGGAGCGCTGCCCTGTTCTGATCTTCCAACGAACTTTTACCAACTTGAAACCATCCAAACTGGCGGCCATCACTACACCGGGGAGAGTGAATTCCACAGTTTCATTATGCACTGCAGGAAGGACTTCCGTGCGTTTGTAATTGTCCTCAAGTACCCAGGAGAATCCCACTGGATCAGCCCAGGGATCTGGCGAGTGTAGCATCTCACTATCAAAACAGCACTGAAAGGTTCAAGTTGAACTGGAGACTATGGAAGAGGAACAGGGCAAGACTGGGAGAAAAGGAGGAGGAGAGACTTTTTTTGGGCGGGGGGGGTTAGAAGAAAGGAGGAAATGCAATTGGATAGCTATGGGGAGCTGAGGAAGAACTTCCTGATGCACCCACAAGGGCAGCCGAAGAAGAACGGAGGATCTGGGAGGGTTCCCATTGAACAGGAATGATTTAGTGTTGGGATCTTCCTGAGCAGGTTCCACACAGGCACACAGAGCCCGTGTGTGTCCAGCACAGAAACCCTGAAGAAGAAACCAAGCCCGACCCTTTCTCCAGTTCCTTGTTGTTTCCTACCAAATTCTGGAAACAAACTTCCAACTTTCCTCCCCTCCCAGAACAACCCCAAGCGCCCCGGCCCAGATTTAACACTGCACAGAATGGATCTACACACACACAAGAAAAATAATTCAGGGAGGAGAACTCTAAGCTGGCTTCTCCACTGAAATGATGCTCCCTTCAACCCCCACAAGTGCACATGCACACACGAATCTGAGCTGCCTGCAATATACATGGGTGGAGCTGCAATTGTGGAGCAGCATCTGTGATGCAGAGGCCACCAAGAAGAACTTCACTTTATGGGTCGTTATCGGGGCTGGGACAGGCAGGGGGGTGCGTAACCCCTTCTTTCTCTGCCACAGCCCTGGTGAAGAATAGCTCCCCAGAACCTGCAGTTCCCCTCTGTCACACTGGCTGGGCGTGTCTGCACCATGCCTCCTCCTCTAGGGTCTCTCACACCCGCATGGTGCCGAATACTCCAGCGGATAGACGAGGAGTTTCACATGCAAGGGGCCCTGAGCCCCAGAAGGTGCTGGCAGGGAGATCTCCCCCACCATCACCAGCAAGGGCCTGGGGAACAGGTCCAGGAGCAGAGAAGCCTCACTGTTTTTCAGCACCCAGCGCGAGGCGAGCCAGGGCCTGCCTGGATCCACCGTCCTCGGCTTCTGCAGGCTTGGCTTCCTCTCTCACACCTCTGTGGCTGGCAGGTTTCTCTCTGAGGTGAGGTGAGATGAGGGGGACGTTTGCTGCCAAGTCCTACATATGCTCCTGCAGAGGTGACACATGCCTTCACCAAGGCTGCGCTCCACCCGTGGGGCCGCGCGGCGCGTTTCACACCGCACATGCATGTGGGAGAGGAGCTGTTGCTCAAGTTGCATAACCGAAGGAACGAGGCAAGGAGCCACCCGAACGGCCGGGACACAAGGCCAGCTTTAAGGAAGGAGCAGGTGCCGTCTTTTTATTAAAAAAATTGGAATAGAAGCTTGCAGCATCATCTCTCTAACATGGCAACCTATCCACAAGATCCCTTTGCGGCTTTTCTTCCGTGCACGAAAGGAAACTGCTGAAACTCGGGGGCAGAGCATGTCGAAGGCACACACAATGTGTCGGCTTCAGAGGCATCTAGGCAGGACTGGGAAAGATTTCCGCCTGGGAACCAGGAGAGCACCTGTCACCCAACTGGCATCCCTCGGATGTGATGGACTGCAAGTCCCATCACTGTTAGTCATTCAATGGCAGGAAGTGTAGTCCACCGATTTAGCCTGGTGTAAGGCAGCTTCCTGTGTCCTTACATTTCCCAACATTCTGCCGTTATAATAAAGTCAGTGCTTGTCTGTGTCTGTTAGTTGTTCATTCCAGCTAAAAATAACTTTGTGATCTCTTAAGTGGCTTGGATTCGGTTAAAGACGGTATACGAAATATATCAACCAGCATTAAAAAACCTTTTTGATAGATCAAAGCACACAGCCTCCTATCCTCCCGCATGGGCACGAGAGTCCCATTTCTACCGGTTACCTAAGTGGGACATTCTGGAGAAGGAGAACGCATCCTGGATTGCTTCCCCTCCTCTCTCCCAGGGCTTGGCCGGGTCCCACAGGGCTCCTCTCCTGCATTTATCACATCCTGAGAGAATGTGCGAGAGAAATGCACCAGCAGCCCCCCAAAAGTTGCCCACACTTGATGCAGCACGTTTATGGTAAGGCAAATTCTCCAGGATCCTGATTTGCCATTCTGTGCAAAGGGGGCCATTAAATCTGTTAGCCTTTAAGGCTGCATTCAGAGTGTGTGTACCTGTACAGCATCTGTTATCTAACGAACAAACAGGTGCCATCTCACTGGAATAGTCCACCCGTAAGCCTTTGTCCTTGTTTTTCTTTATGGAGAGCTGGGGAAAAGCAGAAAGGAAAAGAGCTATTCTGAGCCTAGCTCCTCTCCTATAATCTCATTTATGGGAAGAAATGAGGGTGGGAGAAGCCCCCCAGTGCCCTTTTCGCCACTGCGTTATCAAAGAAAGGAAATGAGATTTCTAAAGCTCACATTCAAAGCAAAGACTGCAATGGGGGAAGGGAATTTCCACTTGAGATGCACTTGAGCCAACAGCTTTTGAAATGGAAATGTCGCTCTTTGGAAGCACTCAAATTTCAGGAGGGACTGGGGCTGGCTGGCTGCGGGGGGGGGGGGGGTCACTGGAGCTGTTTGAAGGCTGGCTCCCAGGTGACCACAGAGGTGGGGGAAGCAAGGAGAGATTTGCCAAGCCATTAATCAGCATCAGCGAAGGGTCCCAATACTGAGGGCATCACCGTGGACTGACTGACGGGCTGGTGAACGCAGGCCGCTTTTCTTCAGTCAATTCCACAAATGAGATGGTTTGTCCCCGCCCAGGGCACCCCCTTCATTCCACAGCTGTGCCCGTCAAGGACCCAATTACGTTATGAACTTGGTCCAGATGAGCAAGTGCTCCCAAGGGGCAAAGAAGCTGCATCCCATCTTCACCCCAAGTGCTTGCACGGGCCCCGAAGTGCAACAGTGGAGAAGCCCTTAAGAAGACGAGCAGAGAAGAATAAGGTTCTTCCCCATTACAGAAGAATTCGCTTTAAGACTAATCGAGTTATCATTATTTCTCTCTGACTTAACGTAAGATTTGTGTCTTCCAATTAGTGCTAATGATGGAAGCAAATAACAGTTACCATTCCTATTTCGGAAGGAAGGGCATCATCAGGGAAGTGCCATGGGCCCAAGCTTTGGTATAGATGCACAATCCGACAGGTTCTGTCTCTGGCACCTCCAACAGCAAGAGCTGGAAAGTCCTAGTTTGCCATCTGGTGAGGCCGCTGCAAGTCCAAAACCTCCCCGAGATCTGCCTTCTGCTCATCCCTCGCAGAGACAATACCAGGCTGGAAAGCTGAAGCCTCTGACCAGGTGCAAGGTTGCTTCCTAGACTGAGCTCCGGCTGCTTGAAGCAGCTGTTGGCACAACCCGCAGGTCCTCCTTGCGCCTGACATTCTCTCAGCTCAAGGGCTGCATTCAGTTTCAGGGACGCTCTTGAGAGCCACATTCCAAAAGCTGCCAGAGGCAAAAGGAGCAAAGGGAACTGGGCCAAGGCCACCTGCAGAGGAGAATGGGACCTCAGGTGGCCCAAAGTTAGCCCACCAGGCCTGAATTCTGTATCTCTGAACTAAATCAGTGCAGTCTACATATCACCTCCTCTACCCCATCTTAAAAATGGCGGAGGGGAACGTACGTCCAGATGTATCTCCCCCTCCCCGACTGCCCCACACAGTCTTTCATTCATAATAATTTAAATAACCATAAGTGCAATAACTGTACGCTTTCGCTCTGCTGCGCCCTGTCTCCATCACGCTCCCTTTCCCTTGCTATGCTCTTATGTCATTTCCTAGACCGTAAGTCCCTTTTAGCACAAACCTCTTCAGCCTGTCATTCCATGAACTTTTAACCTTGTCTTTGTATAACCGCCTGCACAAAATCTGAGGAAGCCTATAGCCTCCCCAGTAAAACGGCCTACTTGCTCTTAAATTAAATATTTACTTTTCATAGATACCTCTGACTCAACCATGCTTTTAAATGAAGCCTATTCCACACAGTCTGCACTTAAATGTCAGAGGAAAATCATTTTCAATACCAGTGGAGACAATAAACAGTGTCACAATGACATGTTAAGGATATTTGTCTCATTTGTTAAGTTTTACATAAAATGATGTTTTCATTTTTGCATATGAAATCCCCATGTTTTCTAAAATTTTAATATCTGCTACTTTGCATTTCCTGCATTTGCATTTCCTGCCTTTCCCCCAAAGAACAACTGCCTCCTGCTTTCCCTTTTGCCTCCACAACAAACCGGAGAGGCAGGCTGGGCTAAGAGTCCGTGACATCCCCAAAGCCAACCTGAGAACTGCATGGCAGAGCGTGGACCAGCCTGGGCCTTCCCAGTCCAAAACCAGCACCCTAACCACAAAACCACACTGGTTTAACTGATCTTTGTAACAGCGATTCCCTTGCACAACAAACCGACTTCTATCTTATTTGCTTCTTACACGAGGCTCCCAGCAGCCTTCCGTTGATGCAGAGCGGCCGCATCTAAACACAGTTACGCTTTTGCAAAGATCATCCTGTGCACCCTGCTTTATACCCCCCAAAAAAGACAACACCAGGGTGCGTAAGAAGCATGCAGGTAAAGCCCGCGGGACGGCGACTAAGCGATGGTGCTCCTCCTTGGTCCTAGGCCACCTCAGCAGCCGCTCTCTGCCTTTAGGGTGCACTTAACTCTCTGGCTTACAGAAATTGTACCACTGCCTTGCTATTCACGTAGGTAAGTGAAGCTTTCTCACCAGGATGAGCCGGCTGGTGGAAGAAGAGAAGAGAGCTGACTCTTCCTCCAATCACAAGAGGTGGAATGTATGAAGTTAAGGGATTCTCTTTCACCCAAAGAAGATCTGGTGAAATGTCACCTTGTAATGTTGATGGAAGAGAACGGAAAGGTCTAATTATGTAAATGATGAGACAGGTTTGCTAAGAAGAGGCAGTCAGCCTTAAGGAGAGACTGGGGGGAGGGGGGGGGGAAGCACCTTCCTACCAGTGCATCAGCAGCAGTCATATAGCAGTAGCGAGAAGCAAAAATCGACAGACAAGGAGCAGAAAATGCTGGCGTGCCATTTCTCAAAACTGCTTCCGAGACGGTGACAGGTAAAACACAGCAACAGATTTCCCAAGACGCGGTTCCTGGTTCTTCCTCAAGCTCCCGTTGCTGGTAAAGGGGGAGGAGACCCAGAAAGCTCCAGCTGCTCAGACCCCTAACAGAACTCGTTCTGAACACAACTCAGGGAAGCCCATTTCTTGCCACCTTACTAAGACGACTGCGCAGCCTCAGTAGGAAAGACACATCTTAACCGAGTGTCAAAAGGAATCGGCTTTAAGGCACTCCATTTTCGGGAGGGGATCTGTGGGCAACATATATGTACGTGAGGGGGTGTCACATGGAGGTGGGCAGAGACCTGTTCCCCCCTGCAGAGGAGGGCAGGACACGCTCCAATGGAGCCAAGCTCAGGGAACCGGGGTTCCATTTGGATGCTAGGAAGCACTTCCCGACAGTTAGGACCCCCGGGGTATGGAATGGGTCTCCACGGGAGGTGGTTGAGGCCCCATCGGTGGGGGTGTCCAAGGACAGGCTGGACATGCACATGGTGGGCATGTCGTGAGCGATGCTGGCTGGAGCTGGGGGTCAGACTAGATGGCCCGGGAGACCCCTTCTGACTCGCTCTGTTTCTGTTTCTTTGGCTAGGAGGAGCGGGAAAAGAGGACGACTCTTAGTCTGCCCTGGGAACAAGCAAGTACACCATCCAAGAAACCACACATCTGCTTTTTCATGGCTCTGCTTCCTTCTCCCCTAACAAACGCATATATTTAAAATTAGGGGGAGATTTGCTGCGCCAAAGGAGAGGAATGACTCACCAGCACTAGCGACTAGCTGGGACCACACTTGACTCACTTTGATGCCCTCATTCGCACCTACAATATTCACACAATTTATTTGCAAACTCTATTATTACAGGGCCATAAATCAACACGGGGCCTGTCATAAACAGATTGGCCTTTCTCGCTCTCACTCGCCCTGCAAAGCTTTTCTTTAGAGTCCAGGAAAAAAAGGGATGAAAACTGAGGCGTCGCATTGCTGTCCCCCTCAATTTTTTCCTAAGCTGTCTTGATAGGCAGGGAGCTGACGGTTGTGTCATTCTACAGCTCGTTTTCTATCTGACCGCCGGGCCTCCCCTTCCGCCGCCACCGGAGCGAGATTACTCAATTAGGGATTAGAGCTCTGCCAGGCACTCCCTGCCCAAGTGGGAAGCCCGCCAAGGTCAGCGAAGGCGCTTGCCAATTGCACTGATAAACGCAGGAGCCGGCGCGCGGGGGTGAGCGGGGAGAGCCGGCTCTGGGGTGCTTCGGCCCTGGCAAAGCCGAGCGAGCCCGATTTCCACGGCAAAGGTGGAAGAAAGAGCAGTACGCGCGCTCTTCCCAGTCCAAATCTCCCCGCACGGAACTTCACGCCCGGCAGTGATGCACACAAGAGTCCTCCCGTTCCATTCACACCAGGCTCTGCCTCCCCCACCATGAAGCCGGCATGAAACCGAACGTTGCATGTCCGGAAGAACCGATGGGAGGAAAGTCAGCAAAACGGCCGGGATTGCTTGGGGACAGGCTGTACTGATGAATCCATGCAAACATTGAAGTGGCGGAGGTGGCGGAAAGCGGGAGTGACAACTAAGCATTTGTGAAGGGACGTATTAGAAGGGGATTGGCGATGCCCTTGGGGTGTGGCGTCTTGTCAGGACGCGCACACGACTGGGGAGAGCAGAATCAACCGGCAGTCATGGCAGCTCAGGAGGAAAACACCACTGGCCAGCTGCCCAAGGGACGAGATTTCCAGAGACTTTTGCCCCTCCCGTGGATCCTGCCCGCATCCTGGCACCGGCTAAACTGCAACAGGGCAGGCGGGCATAAGGAGGAGCGGATGCGTTGCTGGGGGCAGAATCCAGATCCCTGGGAATTTCAGCTTGCATGCCATTGCATTTTCTTTTCTTTCCCTTTTTCAAAGAGCCATACACTTGCCAAACTTGCATGGATTTTAGGAATGTGCTTTGGTCACAGGGCCACGGCAGATGTGGCGTTCAGCACAGGACTGGTCCGCGTCGCCGTTCTGAAACGGCCGTGATTTCTACCGGACACGCACACACAGGCCAACCAGCACAGTGCCCGCTTCCGCCCTCAGGCACCCCAGAAATTTCGGGAGCTTCAAATCCCTAAGACGACCCCTGGCCACTCGTGTGCCCGCTTCTGCCACAGCCTCCTTGGCACCTGGATCTCTTCACATCCCTGACTCATGCTAGAGCGTCTCCTGGGATAGTGACTGAGGACCTTGGCTGAAAAAGCTCTCAGAACCCAGGCAGGAGTCCAAAAGCATGCTGGATCTCCTCGTTTCTTCGATTCCTGCTTATCAAACCATCAGCCACTGATTCTGCCCCCCTGCTCCCCTGAGTCCCCTCATCCCAGCTGCCTTCTACAGTCACCAGTCTCCTCTACCAGCCAGCTGCACCCTTCGGCTCGCAACATCCTCACATTTGCCAAGAAAGGGCCACTGAAGCAAGATCCCCAGTGTATTCTGGGTCAGGCTGAGGATGCTGGACGTTCCCCAACAGCCTTTCCAAGCCGGGCGCCCTGCAGATGGCTCAGATGGCAACTTCCAGCATTCCTGACTAGGGATCACGGGGCTGGCAGGAACCGAAGTAAGAAACACCGCTCCTGCCGCGGGAAGGGCTGCCTTAGTCTGCGCGACGATCAGCCAGCGATCCCTGGAAGGAGGGTCGGGATGTCTGCTAGGAGAGGAAATGCTATGCTAGCTGCATGTGGCCGCAGAGCGACAACATTCTGCACCACAGAGACGCTCTTCCAGCAAGGCATGTCCTCCTTGAGGGCTCGCTCACACAGCCAGCCCACGCCTCTCCAAACCTCGCTCTGCGCAGCCTTCTCCGCCTTACCTTTGACAGGTCCTCTGTCCCTCCCTGCGGACCCTGGCTGAGCAAGGACGAGTGCCTCAGCAGCGGCTCCTGCAGCAGCTCCAACCGGGGCCGTTTCGTCTCGATGAACTCCATTTCCGACGGTTTGCTCAGGTCAGGAAGATAAGGATGTGTCTCGCCTCGGGTGTGCAACTCCTGCGATCTGAGGGGGGCGGGTAGAGAGGAAAGAGAGTCACCACAAGGCATTGCTCGTTCAGAAATGCAAAAAGACATCTCCGTCAAGTAGAGGGAAACGGGTGGCGGTTGCCCCTCACTGAAACAGGCAGTGTCAGGACTTGGTCCAGGAGCTCTGCGGGGCAGGCACTCTTCTCCCGATTCTTGCCCCACTAGGGCTGCTAGCCAGAAAACGGGACTGTGGGCAGGTCAGGCTGAGCTGTTCCCCGGTCACCCCAAACCCTCCCCGTCCTGAGAACCAAAGGACTACTCCAAGCCGGCCCACAAACGCCGCCTGCTAAACAGCTCTGAAGCGCTGCTGTTCTCTCTCATTCTGGGCAACCGGCTGCCGGGCAAGCATGGAGAAGCCTCCAGAAGCCACGGCCACTTCCAAATTAGTTGTGGTTACAAAGGGCAATATTTTTGCTACCAACTTGATGGAGGGGCAAAAGCAGATGGGAGGCGCTGGTGCCCGCTGGCCCAGACGATCCCTCTTGTGCCACCTGGCTGCCTATTTTGCCTCTGGCTTTCCTTGTCAGCTCTGGTACTCGCCAACCTTTGACTCTAAGCTTCTGGCACACTGCACCAATTCACACACACGCTGAGATGAAGCAAGGAGATTTGGCACACAAGCTACAATGAAACAAAAAAGCCTCGAATTAACCAGTTCATTCAAGCTGACTAACTGAGGTTACGATCTCTAGAACAAGCCCGGTTCAATCATGGTTTGAAACTGGTTTATTCTGGCTTTTTCTAATGCAGATATCCTGGCTCATGTTAAATAGGAAATTATGATTAATTATGGTTTAACTCATTACAAAGGGAGGCAGCCAAAGGTTTGCATGCACAGCTATAATGCTTATCTCAGCTTAACAGGCTGAGATACGATTGTGCCAAAGTACGCAGCACGGGTCTCTAGAATAACCAGCTCCACTTGCGAAGCAGTCTGTCCTCTTTATAACTGCCCAGACTGAAGGCCTCTCCTTCCTTCCAAACTTCAATTTCCCACACTCCGCCTTTACTGCAGAACCTGTGGCTTCAGGGCTAACAGAAAACCCGGCACTTTTTCGCTGATCAGTCTTCTTCAGCTGTCGCATCACCCTGGGATTACTGATGCCCATTCCTGCCTCCTTTTCCATAAACTTGTGCTGACTGGCTCCCCGCAGTATTGGAAGCGAAAGGCCCCTCTTCCGTCTCCCCCCTGCTCGCTGGTCCGACGGTTCTTGGCATTTCAGCCGCGAACTCCACTCCCACCTGCCCCTACGGCCCTGGAGCTATTTTGGAGCAACGGGGGGCCAGTCCCTGCCGCCACTAGGATTGCAAGTGAGCAAGCGCTCCAGAGCGGAGGTCAACGTGAACCCTGAGCCGTTCGGCTCAGCCTGGATTCTGCCTCCCTCCGTGGCCTCGCCATCGGCTTCTCCCAGTGCGTAAAGGACCTTCTTGCCTCTCGTCTTATGCTGTTTACAGGCAGGAAAAGACGAATACTGATGAAAGTGAGCACAGTCCACAGCCACAAACAGCCTCCTCTTCATCTGCCCGGCGGCTTTCACTGGAGACCAGCGACCACGTCCTGATCTGCTCTGGCCCATGGCAAGCAGGAGGTTCCCAAATTTGCTCTGCTGGTCTCCCCCAGTTCCTCCCCTTTGCCTGAGTCCACATGTCCCCTCTGGTCCCCTGTCTGAGCCCCCTGCAAGCCGGAGCCCGAGCTCCCTCAGGCTTTTCCAACAGCAGCCCAAAAAAAGGGACCGGTGGCCATCACTTCCAGTGGGTAGCTGCAACAGCCTCCAGAGGTGTCTTGCTGCATCTTAAGCCGGGCAGATCCTTCTCCTGTCACTGTGGCCGGAGTTGTCGTCGCAAGTGCAGCCACCTCCCCAGCCCGCTCACTCGCGCTTGCAGCTCCTCAATCAGGAGGATTAATCGCTCTCAATACGAATAGCAATTAAGCTCTCCCCTCTCGCCACACACCGCATGTCTGCTTCAGACGGCTGTGAGCACACGTCTGCTTATTAACGTGAGCAGAATATATTGTTATTGACAAAAAGACCATTACTTTTCATTACCATGGGACAAATGCTTCAAAACCTTAATTGCCAGGAAGAAGAGGAAAAAAACCAGCCAACAAACAATCACAATCACCAACTCCAAGAAAGAATGACTCATCGAACTGCCAAAATAATCAAACCTTTTTTCAGAAAATAGTGCCTTTGCTACTATAGATTTGGGGCAAAAATAAGCGTGGACTATCAAGAGCAGCACCGTTTATTACCACGGCCCTTTCTCCCCTCAAGACTGAATTAGAACAATTACTCTCTCCTTGATCTAAAAGCATCACATGCACTTTCGAGTCTGCACACACCGGGTTTCCTGAATGACCTGGCAAACATGCCCCATTTCCCAACCACCATGCCTGTGCGGTAAAGGGCAGAGCAGTGGGGTGGCACATCCCTGGGATGTGCCAGAGGACTGAGCGAGGTCAGCCAAGGTCCCCAGCTCCGCTCTTGCACCCCAGTGCTGCTCCCCAGTGCACACGTAACGGGAAACACTCATCCACGGACGGGGCTCTTGACCCAGCCTTTGGACGGTTAGGGACCTGGGCCCAGGCCATGCCAAGAAACGATCCTGGTGAGCCACTGCTCCCACACAAGGTGGCAATACAAGGCCACGGCTCTGATTCAGTCCACGGCCGCTTCCTAACTAAGTTGCACACATTCAAAAGGGGGCACAAGCACACTCCAGTCCATGGAAGGAGGAGGTGCCTGTTCCAAAGGTGCATGCATTTTAAAAATATGCACAGATTTGTGTACAGAAAGGAAGAAAAACACAGATTCCGATATGAAGTGGACACAGGCAAGGAGTCTGGAGCGCTCTGCCACGCCCGTTCGCTGGTGCGCACGTCCCTAGCTGGCAATCCACCGGTGCGGCGCACCGACCCCAGGACACGACGGCCGGGCATCTAGCGCAGTGCAGGGAGCAGGCCAAAGGAGGGTGGAGAGGAGAGGAAAGCGGACCTGCCAGAACATTCCGCTGCGATGACATGTGGTCCGACGCGTACCAAAAAGGAGATCTTGAAATAACTTTCCGAAGCATCTCTGTTCCAGCGAGCAGGGCCCGGTGTACGCATGCCAAGGGGAAGGCTTCCAAGATTCGGCCCACAAACAACGGGTGGGGTGTGGAGTGGCCCCACTTACCGGTTGGGCACTCCATGGGCACCCGAGGACGGCAAGGGCACCACTATCCCAGCGTGTCCGTGGGCCAGCTTGCACCCGCAAAAGCAAAACGGGGACAGGACCTGCACAGACTGAAGCCGCCTTCTCCAACTTTGCAAGGTTCGCCTGCCGCTGTCACTGTATTCTTTTCGGCGCCAGGCTAAAATCTTTTTATTTCCCCACTGTTGTAAGATCTGATTGTTTTAATTGGGGTTTTATTGTCAGTTGAATTGTTTAGGACGCTGTGCTTTATTTTACATTGTCATATTGTTAAACGGTCCAGAGACTTTGGCAAGGGACAGTTTACAAAAGTTTTAAATAATCAATAAATGACTGTGTTAATGTGCAGTTCCTGCCTCTCTCAGGTCACACAGCCAATGGCTGAGAGCGACTCCAGTGACAAAAACACATCGGGGAGGGGACCAGACTGAGCAGGAATCTGGAACCAACAAGCAGACCCCTTTGCCAGGAAAGGTGACTGAATTTTGGTGCCGAACCCTCTTTTTTTGTGTTGGGAGCCTTGGGAGTTGCTTTCAGAGCTGAAAAAGGAGGACAGAAATGTGTGTGTGTGTTTATATCAATAACTATAGATATTCCTGCACTAGCTTAAGGGATGCAGGCTGCAAAATACCACGCAGAGTGACTAGGATGGCGCCCTGGGATAATGCAGGGAAGCCCAACGGAGCAGATGATGGCAATTGCTCTGCCGTTCAGAACAAGGCAGGAGAGTCGGTGTGAGCAGTCGGAACATCATTCTGCAAACTGTGAGCTGGGGATGAATTTCCTGGGCGGGTTTCCTTGGAAACCAGTTTTGCAGCAGGAAGTGGACAAGAGCCTGAGATGAAGGTAGAAGAACAAGTGAGCAGATACGGCAGCTGATTCGCTGGGAGGGGAGGAGGTAGGCGAGGAGACAGGAGAGGAACTGGGAGGTGGAGCGCTCATGAGTAAGGCCCAGATCTGTCATCCCTTGGCCAATGATTCACGCCAGCCTGACCTCAGGCGCAACCAGCGGGGCACACATGAAATTAGGTACGGGACTGAAGAATGCTCCTTTCACCATTGGCTCACCAACTGGCAGATCAGAAAGGATTCCAGTTTAGGACCCATTAAATGCTAAAGCAGAAACTGCCTTGGACTAAGTCACACTTAAAAAAAACCTGGACAGCCATCTGATGGTGTGGGATGGTGTACCGTGGTGTCCTGCACCAGCGGGGGGGAGGAGGGATTGGAGCCAGTGAGTCTAAGTTACCACCTGCCTCCCTCTTGCTTCTTCAGAAAGCTGTGGCTGAAAATGAAAATAGAGTAACTTTCCAGTAGCCCTCCAAAAATGGAGGGGGGAGGCATTTTGCTGCTGCTTCGCCAAGCATGTCCATCACCATGCAACAAGCGCAAGATCTGCATGAGCCAAGGGGACACCGATCCTCAAGGCATCCGAGGAACTTTGCTGAAATGGTCTCCGGAGCCCCTTCCCCTTCTGGCTACAACTCCACAACTGCGGGGATGGCGGGGGGGGGGGGGGCTCTGCCACTCCAGGTCAGGCTTGGTCATCGGAGGAGAGGCTGCTTCACTCCCACTCCCTGGAGAAATGTGGAGCCGTTTTGCGTTCCCCCTCCGCGGGCTTCGCAGGCCTGGTTGTGCTCGCGGCTTCTGGCTTCCACCTCCCCGCCGCCAGCTCCAAGGGCCAGCTGCCTCCGCTGGAAGCCAAGCGATCGGAACCTGGGAAGGCGGCCAAAGCGCGTACAGATGCATCTCGCTAGGATCTGCCAAGGGGGACTCAGCTGCACGGATGCCTGCTCTTCCCAGCTCCTCTGGTGAAGGGAGGCGGGAGGCGAGGGGGGGACCAGGGAAGCGCTGCTGTGCCAGAGAAAAGCCCAAAAGTATTTGCTGTGACAAGCTGGCCTGCCCCTCGCCACCAGCTGCAGCCTCCAGCCACCGGGCGATCCAAGGAACACAAGGGAGGGCCCATGGGGGTGTGGGAAAGGTCCACAGGAGGTCATCTGAGTCCGCCACCGCTGCACTGGAGCAGGATTAATTAGGCCCAAGCCGCCCCCGACATATGCTTATGCAGTCTAAATTTAAAAACTTCCACTGATGGAGAAAGGAAGGAACTCCGTAGCCTCTCTTTGGCAGCCACTTCCAAGAAACGTGGCTGGGAAATTTTTCAGGCTATCGTAGTCCATGAAATTGGAAGTAGCCCCAATTAAATGATCTCACCAGGTATATCCCATACATAAAACATCCCTCTGTCCGGCCCTCTGGAAACCTCGAAAGAGAGAGAGTGCCAGCTTCTGACCTGGCTCCCCCTGATCCTTTCTGGGCCCTATTCAGGGGTTTGGTCCCTGAATAACACAGGGGCACTTCCTCTTCTGTGTGATCCATCAAGGCACGTGCTTTTAATGCTACCATTTATGAGCCAGGTTCAGAGAACAATTAACCTCTGAGCCATTCCTGTATTTATTATGATTAATTTGGTTTTTGTAAACCTCTTGGGAATATCTATTAGATATTGCAATCGCATGTCAAAGGATGGATGGAAGGAAACAGGGAGGAAGGGGGACCCCTTAGCAGCTGCTCCTAATTTCCAATTACGGAAATCCCTGAGCATCTCAAGGAGTACCTGGAGTTTGGTGGCGCAGCACCTGCTCTGCATGAGGAAGGTGCCCGGTTCGATCCCCGGCATGCCCAGAAAGGGCGAGGAGAGACCCTGAGCAGCCACTGCGGGGTCAGGGCGTGGCTCCTTTGGACTTTCATTCTGAGCGGCTTTGCAGGACCAGGCTACACAGGGGCTCGGCATTAAGCTAGGCGTCCAATATAAAAAAGTGAATTTGTAAGGTTTAATGTTACGCAATACTGCTGCCGCTGACAGAGAGGCTTTGCTAGGTTTACCCCACCTTCCGGATGGGGCGGACGACAAACCAGAATCAGCAAAAGGCCACATCTTCAGCAGAAGCACTGAGCTGTATTATTGTATTTGGACTATTTTTAATTTATTTCCCTCCTGTCCACACAAAACTGGCAATCCAACCATGTCTGACATATTCTTACAGACAAGATGTTCTTTCAAACGTTAATCTCATCGAGTTCATCTTTTTCAGCCTAAACTGGACTTCATCTGACTAATAATTGACTGCTGCTTCTCTTATCTTCCTTGGCTGCTTGCTGAGGGATGACAAACCTTTTACGAAGACATGCCTCTGTGCAGAGCAAACCAAAATACTTCTCTCGAGAGACATTAGGCAGAAAACCAACTTTTTTTTGGTTTTTCATTTATTGTTCGGTTTATATCCTGCCTTTTTCCCACAAAGGACTCAAGGCAGCTTACATCATTCTCCTCCTCCATCTTATCCCCACAACAACAACCCTGTGAGGTAGGTTGGGCTGAGAGTCTGTGCCTGGCCCAGAGTCACCCAGTGGGCTCCATGGCTGAGCGGGGACTCGAACCCGGATCGTCTGAGTCCCAGTCCCGTGCTCTTCACCACTGCGCCACACTGGCTCTCTGTGTTGAACAGTTTCTAGACTATTCAACTCGCACGACAGGCGCAGGGCTTCCCCTCCTCTTAATGTCTAATATTTAAGTAGGGACTGGAAAAGTGAAAAGGAGAGAGAGAGAGGCGCAAAGTGGAATTGTACAGGGGGAGGCGGAGGTGTTGAGCACACACACGGGGGAGGGCGTTGTCTGCTGTGACTGGAAACTGTACCCCACGGTCTTGGGCAAACCGCCGCCTTATACATTAATCATCTCACCTACAGAACTTCAGCGGTTTGGCTGAACAGAAGGCAATAAATGAAGCTCCCTGGGGTAAGGTTTAATACTGCTTCTTAGATTGGCAGCGGCCAACTAGGGCAGGGGCCAGAAATCTGGTGCCCATGGGGCCAGTACACCCTCAAGCCCTTTTCCTGGTGCCTGCCAAGGTACCCTGGCCCTCCTTTTTCCCACTTTTATCTGAATGACAACTTTTCTTCCCGGCGGCTGGGACTGCTCTCGAGCGAAACGAGAGGCTCTCCAGCTGCTTTTCCCTTCTGTCGCCCTGACCTGTCTCTGGGTCACACACGGGGCTCAGAGACGTTCTTAGGACATGCCGGTGGCGGGCGGGCCCAGGACCCTGTTTCCATCTGCAGCACACCCACTTTGTGGAGGTGCCAGAAGAGCTTCCCTCATTGCCGCACTTGCCCACAGATCCCAAAGTCTGTGGGTTCGCGCTCCTGCAACCCCAGCAGAGAGCTGCCCCATGCCAGGTCAAACCAGTGGCCCACCCTGCTTCGTGTTGCCAACTGTGGTTGGCAGTGCCTCCCTCCGATCTCAGGACAAGAAAGCTCCTTCCCATAATCTGCAACTCACAAAGGCCTTGCCATAACCTACAACCCAAGGGCAGGAAAAGGTATTTCCCACGGCCAAGAACCTGTTTACCCGCAGATGCCAAGAAATGAGCTTAGGACCTTCTGGATGCAAAGCAAATGTTCTCCCACTCACAGCTCCGCCTCCCACAGAGAGAGGGGCTACACCGTCGGAGCAGCATCGGCAGGAGAAACGGAGATGCAGAAGGCCTTCCGGCACCACCACTGCCTCTCACACTGCCAAGGAAAGGGCACCCGATCCAGGATCCGTCCCCAGCACCTCTTGCAAAGCTGGGAGAGAACACCAAGGACCACCTCCTGGGTGGAGCACGGCTCCGCCTCCCCTGCAAGGAGTCGCCAGGTGCGAGACATGCGACACAACGCCTTGGGGCAGCAGGGGGCTGCTGGGATTTCTGCTGAAGGAGCATTTCAGCGGCCCCCTAAGAGCGATGCACAGGTCGGGGTTCTGGAGGCTCCCTTACAGCCCATCTCTACGGAGAGCTCCACACAGCTCTGCCCACAAGGGCCTCCCCATTCCCCTTACCTTTCATTTGCAGGCTGGAATTCCGATAACAACGATGGCCTCCTTCGCTGCGGCTGCAAGATAGACCCGGGAGGCAGATGGGAAGGATAGTCCCTGGGGTGATGCTGATATTCCAAGAGCCCCACATCCTGAAACAAGGGAAGCGGGAGAAAGAAACAGGGTTTGGAGAGGTTTTTGAGCTGGTTCCATTTGACTGACACACAACGGCATAGAGCCCTCCATGGAAGCGAGGCCACATGCATGCCACATTTAAACAATCCAAATTGGACACTGGAAATTCTGCGGCAAGGGAAACCGAATTCTGCAACCTGCCTACAATTCTCAAGCAAGCCTGAAACTTATCCTTTGCATGACCCTATTCAGCTGGTGGGGTTGTTTTTCATCATTTTCATTTGTTAGTCACGGGAGAGCAAGAAAACATTACCTGAAACCCTTCCCACGACCCCAGAAACCTTATTTTGCCAAACATCTAGCTTTTGAGATTGTGGTTGTTATTGCACAAACATTTTCAAACATATTATCTGTAGCCCCTCTGGACGAGAAACATGTTCCCCCTACACCCCGAAAACAGAAGATGAGGGAAAAGCTGATGCTCGCATTGTTCAGAAACTGAATTCTGCATTGAATACGAAATTCTGCATTAAAGTGGAAGGATGGGATACAAACGGCCAGGGCTTTTCTTTGTCATAGAACCCACTGGAACAGCATTCCAGCACCGTTTTTTGACGGATTTTTCCAAGTGATTGTGAATCGCCCTGTTGGGCGGAGCAGGTTGGCAGCAAAAATCATTAACATAGTGCCTGCGGGCTGCTTGTGTGTCGGCGCTGCTTGTGAGGGCGCTGCTCGGCTTGGGATGCTGCTCAGCTTGGGATCGGTCGTGTGGTTGTGCGCTGAGTGCTTACTGCCGGCGGCGACCATTATGTTTATGTGTGTGTAGAGTGACTGGCTGCGTGCAACAGGTCAATAAGTTGTTTATTTCAAAAACAGTTGGTGAATTGAAAATCTTTTTTAGTGTAAAAGTGTGACCCCAAGACATGAGTTCCGGCACTTTTTTTTTTTTTTTTAAACACTGCAAATGGCCATATGCATAACAAGCCCAACAAGATCTCTTATCCCCTCCATATCCAGAGGAGGAGGAAGAAAGCAAATAAGCAAGAAGAATCCAAGCCAACTGGCTCCAGTCAACCTGCTTCTTGCAAGGCCTAGAAATGGGAGCCTTCTGTTTTGTGAACTGCTGTCCTTTGCAGTTCCAGCCTGCATCTTCTGAACAATCAAGTAATCTCACTCTCTGACCCAGGCAAACTAAGAGCTTGGCCCCCTCAAGCAAGAGGGGCTACAAGGGAAAGGGCTCCTGGTGTGGGCACAGACTTTGCCCAAGCAAAAAATTATTCCAGCTGTGGCAAGTTTCTGTGCACCCTCAGCTCGGACTGCATCGCTTGGTCTCCCAGCTCCAACTGCCTGGCAGCAGCTTAAAGTATTCTCTATTTATGTAGGTCAAGAGTGAGGAGACAGAGGCCAAGCTAGCAGCCTACCAAAAGCCATACATTCCCTAGAATATGTCTCAGGATCCTCTGCAGCCTTCAAGTGGCCCAAAGGAAATATATCAAGTTATCTGAAGGAAACACGGTTTGGCAAAAGAGCCCCATTTGCCATTATCTCAATTAAGTCCCTTAAATCATGGCTCCCACATGACGAACAACAACAACAACAACGAGGGGACGGAAAAGACGTGCTACCTAGGAAAGGTGCAGCCCTCTCACCCCTTGACCGGCCACAAAGAAGGGCAGCATTTCCACTGCCACAGTTTAATTAACTAAAAAGCTCCGCTGTCGCAAGACACAGAGCTTCCCGCTGAAAGCCTTCATGTGCAGCAGCTCCTCATTAACAGATACGGTACTTGACCACAGGGGGGGGGGGGTGGATCAGAGATGCAATTATTTCAGACACAGGTCGAAGCCAATAATGCCGGGAGGACATTCCTGAAAACAGAGGCCTGGACACACAGAAGATGAGACCATCTGTTTCAAAGGGCCAAAGAGGGTTCCAAATCTTGCAAATTTCTTCAGATAAGAAATTCTACCAGAATTAACTCTCCAGGAGGAAAGATTACGAGGAAAAGTTAGACTGCTTAGGCAAGTAGGATGGAGGGGAACGTGACAGAGGTGTAAACAATTATGCATGGTAGGGAGAAAGGAAGCAGGAAGATATCTCCCTCTCTCTCCCTCTCCCTCCCTCGCTCTCTCTTTCAATAGTAGAATGCAAAGATCAAGACAGTCCAGAGAGATAAGCGGAAATATTGATTTGCACATAGTTCAAGTATGGAATTTGCAAACATCAACTTGGATGACTTAAAATCAGGATGGCCATCAACTTATATTGCCTTAAATAGGGGCTGGACAAGTTCCAGTAGGAGAAAGCTTTAATAGCTACTAGTCCTGTATCCATGACTACTCTATTACATCCAGAATCAAAGGCAGGATTCCTCTGTAGGCCCACTGCTGGAGAACAGGTGAAGAAGGGCTGTGTCTTCCTGTTGGGATTCCCAGGGGTACGAAGTCAGCCATGGTAGAAACAAAATTTTGGCCGAGATAGGCTAGGAATGAGAGCTTGCAGGCTTCCAGGTGTTTTGTCCTACAACTCCCATAATTCTTTGCCAGCATAAACAGTGGTGAGGGAAGATGGTAGCTGTAGGCCAAAAATTCTGGCCGCTGCAAATTACCCACCCCTGCAATAGATGCCCTAGACTGTATGAAGGTTGCTCCCTGGCCCCACTAGAAATTACCGCTGTAAAAACATATACATGTGGAGAATCGCCCCTTTCCAGTGATATTTATGTAGAAAAGTATCCGGTGTGACAAGGTCCTGGATAACCAGCATTGCTCAATTAAAATCTCCCATCTGACAGTAATTAACGATCTTTCTGAAAGAAACCGGTGATGTCAGAAAAGGCAACGCAACAACCGCAGTGTAAAATATGGGCTGGCAGTGACTGTACACATGAAACCCTCCGGGATGCGCCATAAACATTTCTCCTCTTGTATGCAGCATAAAGGGAACGTCAATCAAGTAGATGGAAGGAGCAGACAAGAAGCAGATGGACATTTCTGCCCATAAGTCATGACCCGAATCTAGAATATGGTCCATGAGGCTGCACAGGGCTCCCTCTTTTGGCCACGCTGAGCTCCTCGCCTGCTCAGGCCCCAAGTTGCTTGTACGCCAAAATGTGTCTCACTGCTGAGCAATGCAAAAGCCGTCCTGCCTTACCCAAAAGCCCCCGAAAGAGAAATGCTGCTGCAGTTTTAGCCTGCCTTCTCAAGCTTACAGTCCAGATGATTCACCGGTGCCATGTCTGAATGTGTCGGGGTGTCGGCAGCATGCGGAGGAGTTGCACCCCTTGGTCTCCAGAACACGAAAGGATCCCACAAGTATTTTTCCAGTTGCTACCCCAAAATGACCGATCAGGCTGACTGCGCAGCTGGCCCAGCCTGGATGAGGGGGAAGAGATACACCTCTTGTTTTGCCTCTTGCTTTCTCACCTACCCACTTCCTCCTCAAGAGGAGGAGGAGGGCAACAACCAAATGTTATTACTTGACAGTGCAAAAGGTTGAGTTTGCAATTTTCCTGGTGTTTCTGTCTTAATATGAAGTGCCCAGGTGAAATTAGCCTCTCAACAACACACCCATTTGACTGATCTTTTCCTTTCCTGTTGTTAATCCTAACTAAAACTTAAACTACTACTAAAAAGGAATGGACAGAAAACAGATACTGGCAGATTTCTGGGTGATTTGCACTACATCAGCAAAGATTTCTGACTCAACTGTTACCAACAAAATTAATCCTCCTCACAAATTTATGATGCTGAAATGAAGATAGCCGGCAGCGGGATCAATCAGAAATAGATTTGGCATGCAAACTGCATGAATGCCATGCTGTTCTGGACTCAAAACCAATTTCTAGTGGGCTCAGAATCCTTTAATTCTAGGTGTTGTTTGCACCAGGCTCCAGTTGCTGGGGCACATGGAGGGTATAGTCCAATGTATCTAGAATGCACCACATTGGAATGGGTAGCTTAGATGTGGGAAAGGGTATTCCACTACTGGATAAAGCCATGTGAACCAGCAGTATGGTCAGGAGTATGTGCTTGGTTGATCCCCAAATTGTGCAAAAGACTCCTTCTAAAAAAAGTAAGTAAAAGGTAAAAACAACACTAAAAAGAAGAAGCGGCTAAGGAAAGCCCCAGCTCATGCGTTATCTGTCACCAAGCTGGCAAAAAAGCAACTTCCCAAAAAGTGACTACCATCTATAGAATAAAACCACATCAACAGCAACCATGCGCCCTTACCAGCACACACGCACTCTAAATCTGCTTGCCAGAACTTCCTTTCTGGTCGACGTGTTTATTAATTTCTTTATTACACCTGCACTTTGGTCTTCCCTTCAAGGAGTGCAGGGCAAGAAGTATGACTTTGGCAAAACTTTCGGTTTGAGCCTGATGGACTTTCGACACATTTCTGACCTGACAGGCAGAGCAGACCGAATCAGAGTTTTTCTTTTGGCTTCTGCGGAATTGCTCAAGCTGTGTGTTCAGATCTGGAATCAAGACCTGCACATCTCTAGCACTAGTGACACAAGTCAGAGCTGCTTGGTTAGATCTGAGCCACCATTGCTATTATAGTGTTTTTCTTGAGAAATGTTAGAAGCATCTCCTTTCACTGAATAGGCACCCAAACTACCTTGGCCATCTTGAATTTCCCAGCATGCAATTTGAGATGCAAGCAAAACTGGGGACTCCATCATGTAAGCGCACGCAATGGATGGAGCAGCGACTTAAATTTTGGGCAAATGCCCACAGTCCAATCCAGAATGACCCTCTGGCTCAAAGGATATCAGATCTAGTTAGCCCCACGGCAGATCTGTTGAACACACTCCACCAGGCCAAGTTGAGAAAATCTTTCAGGGTTTTGCCCCCTTCCCCCATTCCTAATTTCAAGACATTCCCTCTCTCAGAGGGTCTGGACCAATTTCCCTTTGGCAATGTAACTAAACCATTCCGGCCCTCCTTGATAGCCATAAATCCAGTCACAGGCTAGGACATGCGGGAAACTTACTAAGGTAAGTTTACAGTAG